AAATGGAAGGACAACATATCAAAATCTATGGGATTCTGCAAAGCAATTCTAAGAGGGAAGTTTATAGCAATAAACACCTCCATATAAGAAAAGAGGTGTAAAATAAACAACCCAACTCTATACCTCAAGGAAAAAGAAAAAAAAAGCCACCAGATTAGCAGATGGAAAAAAAATAACAAAGAGCAGACCAGAAATGAATTAAATAGGGATGAGAAAAACAATAAAAAGATTAACAAAATAAGAGCTGGTTTCTCGAAAAGACATACAAATTTGACAAATATCCAACTAGACTAAGAAAAAAAGAAGATTCAAAAAAAAAAAAGAAAAGAAGATTCAAATAAATAACCATAAATTAAGGAAGAGACATTATAACTGATAACATAAACACGCAAAGGGTCATAAGCAACTATTATGAACAATAATATGTTGACAAATTAGGAGAACCTAGAAAAAGTAGATAAATTCCTAGAAACATAACCAACTAATACTAATCATGAAAAACTAGAAAATTAGAACAGACCAATTTTGAGTAATGAGATAAAATCAGTAATCATAAATTTCCCAACACAGAAGAGACCAAACCAGATAGTCTCCCTGGTGAATTATACCAAACACTTAAAGAATAATTAATGTTAATCATTCTCAAACTCCTCCAAAAAACTGAAGAGATAATTTCCAAATTCATCCTATAAGGCCAGCTTTATCTTGATACCAAAGTCAAATAAGAATACTATAATAAGAGAAAACTATAGACCAACATCTATAAACAGATGTAAAAATTATCAACAAAATATTGCTAAACTAAATTCAACAGAGCATTAAAAGAATAAAACACCATTATCAAATGGTATTTATCTCTGGAATGCAAGGATAGTTCAATATATGCAAATCACTAACTGTGATATACCACATAAATAGAATGAAAGACAAAAGATCGTAAGATTCTCTCAATAAAAACAGAAAAAGCATTTGACAAAATACAACATGCTTTCATGATAAAAATAATCAGCAAATTGAGTATAGAAGGAACACACCTTAACAGAATAAAGTCCACATATAATAAACCCACAGCCAATACCAAACTTAATTGGGAAAAGCTAAAAGCTTTTCCTCTAAGATGAGGAATAAGACAAAGATGCTCATTCACACCACTCCTACTCAACATAGTACCAGAAATTGTAATGAGAGCTGTCAGGGTAAAAAAATAATAAAAGGCATCCAAATTGGAAAGGAAGAAGTGAAATGGTCTTGTAGAAAATATAATCTCATATAGAGAGAGTCCTAAAGACCCAACCAAAAAGGTGTGTTATAACTATTAAATTCAGTAACTCTGTAGGGTACAAAATCAACATACAGAAATCATTTGAATTTCTATACACTAACAACAAAGCAGCTGAAAAAGAAATAACAGTATTCTCACTAGCATCAAAATCAATAAAAATACTTCAGAATAAATTTAAATGAAGTGAGAAATCTGTACCCTGAAAATGACAAAACTTTCATGAAAAAATCTAAGACACAAAAGAAAAGATATCTTGTGTTCCTGGATTAGAAGAATTAATAGGTTAAAATGTCAATACTACCAATACCATCTGTAGTTTCAAAGCAATCTATACCAAAATTCCAATGGCATTTTTTCAGAAATAGAAAAAATTACTAAAATTTATATGGAACCACAGAAACTTTGAAAAGCCAAAGCAATCCTGAGAAAAAAAACAAAACTAGAGGTACACAATTCCTGATTTCAATTATACTCCAAAGCTGTAATAATTATAACAGTATGGTACCGTTGTAAGAAGAGCAGACCAATGGAACAGAATGGAGAACCTAGACCAAATCCCAGTATATGCTCAAAAAATACTTGATGAGGGAGCCAAAAATACTCAATGGGGAAAAAAGAACCTATTCTATAAATGACATTGGGAAAACAGGATATTCTCATGTAAAAGAATTAAAGTAAACCTCTAGTTTATACAATTCACAAAAATTAACTTGAAATAGATTAACAACTTAAAGAATGAACACCATAAAAATCCTAGAAGATGACATAGGGAAAAAGCATTGACATTGACATTGTTGTTGGCACTGACTTTTTAGATATGACACCAAAGCACATGCAGCAAAAGCAAGAAGTAATAATGGGACTTCATCAAACTAAAAGGCTCTTGCATAGCAAAAGAAATAAAAAAGTTAAGACAATCTACGGAATGGAAGTGAATATCTGCAAATCACGTATCTGGTAAATGTCCAAAATATACAAAGAACTCATAAAACTCAGTAACAAGGGCGCCTGAGTGGCTCAGTGGGTTAAAGCCTCTGCCTTCGGCTCAGATCATGATCCCAGGGTCCTGGGATTGAGTCCTGCATCAGGCTCTCTGCTCAACAGGGAGCCTGCTTCTCCGTCTCTCTCTGCCTGCCTCTCTGCCTACTTGTGATCTCCATCTGTCAAATAAATAAATAAAATCTTAAAAAAAAAAAAAAAAAACTCAGTAACAAAAATCCAAACAATCTGATTTAGGAATGAGCAAAGGAAGAGAATAGACTATTTTCAAAGACATAAATATAGACAAAGGTACATGAAAATATGTTTAATATATCACTAATACCAAAGAAATGCAAACCAAAACCACAATAAGATAATTCCTTACATCTATTAGAATGGCTTTCATCAAAAACTGAAAAAATAACAAATATTGGTGAAAATATGGGGAAAATGAAACACTTATGCACTGTTGGTGGAAATGTAAATTGGCATAGCCAATACCTGTATGAATAGCAGTATGAAGTTCCCTTTAAAAGTTAAAAGTAGAACTACTATATGATCCAGCAATCCCATTTCTAATCCACTTCATATCCACAGGAAATGAATACAAGATCTTGAATAGAAATCTGCATCCTCATGTTTGTATCATTTTTCACAACAGGCAAGATACAGAAACAGTGTCTGTCAATGAATGGATTGGTAAAGAAAATGTAGTATTTATATAAAGTAACATTTTATTCAGTCATGAGGAAGAAGGAAATCCTTCCATTTACAACAACATGGATAAACTTGTGGGCATTGTGTTAAGTGAAATAAGTTAGACAAGGAAAGACAAATGTTCTATAGCATTGCTTATGTGTGAAATCACCAAAAAAAAAAAAAAAAAAAAAAGAAAGAAAGAAAGAAAACAAAACAAAACAAAAACTGAACTCAAGTAAACAAAGCATACATAGCCTGTGATTACCAAGGCTGGTAGGTGGGGGAAAGGGAGAGATGTTTGTCAAAGGGTACCAATTTCTAGTTACAAGATGATTTAAGTTCTGGGATTCTAAGGTACAACATGATGATTATACTTAATAATACTGTATTACATACCTGAATGTTACTAGGAGAAAAGATTTTAAATACTCTCACCATGAAAAGAAATGTTAATTATAGCACACGATGGAGGTGTTAGCTAACAATATGGTGGTAATCATTGTGCATTGTGCAATATATAACCATACCAAATCATGTTATATACCTTAAAATGATACAATGTTATAGGTCAATTACATCTCAATAAAGCTGCAGAAGGTGGTAAGGGTCAAGATAAACATAAACTTAAGACCTAAAACTGTTAAATTACAAGAAAATAGGGGGAAAGCTCTTGAATATTGGTCTGAGAAATAATATATTAGATATGGCATGAGAGAACAGACAACAAAAACAAAAATAGACAAGTGGGACTGCATCAAACTTAAAGACTTCCTTTTAAAAATATTTATTTATTTATTTATTTTTAGAGAGAAAGAGGGAGAGCAAGGGAAGAGGAGGGGCAGAAGGAGAGAATCTTTCAAGCCCACTCCCCACTGAGCAGGGAGCTGGACCCAAGACTCATGAGACCCTGACCTAAGCTAAAACCAAGAGTCAGACACTCAGCCAACTGAGCCACCCAGGGGCCCCCAGTCTAAAAAAAACTTAATAAAGGAAACAATCAACAGAGTGAAAATGAGACCTATCTGCTAATCACGCATCTGATAAGGGGTTAATCTACAAAATATGTAATAAATCATACAACTCAAGAGCAAAAACAAATAATGAGATTTTAAAAACCAAAAGACCTGAATAGACATTTCTCAAAAGAAGATATACAAATGACCATCAGATTTATGAAAAGGTGTTCAGCATCACTAATCATGAGAAAAATGTAAATCAAAACCACAACTTACACCTTTTAGGATAGCTATTATCCCAAAAAGATAAAAAATAACAAGTGCTAGCAAGGATGTAGAGAAAGGGAAACTTTGTACACTGTTGCGGGGAATGAGATTGGCACACTCATTATGGAAAACTGTATATAGACTCCTCAAAAATTAAAAATGAACTACATTATGATTAAGCAATTTCATTTCTTGGTATATATATATATATATATATATATATATATATATATATATATAACTAATATGTTAACTACCATGATTGTGGCAATTATTTCACAAAATATCAAAACAATTCATTTATCTTAAATATGTATTTTTCTTTGTCAGTTATACCTTAATAAAGTTTGAAAAATAAAAACATAGATGTTAAATAGAATAAAAAATTTAAATATAAACATTGGAGTGCATATGGCCCTTCTTTTCACGACATCTGTATCTTTGGGGTAAATACCCAGTAGTGCTGGGTCATAGGGTAGCTCACAATGAATCATGGAACACTACATCGAAACTAATGATTTACTGTATGGTGACTAACAGAACACAATAAAAAATTTTTAAATATATATTTAAATATATAGATAGAATTTAACTTACACATACATACATATGTATTAATTATATTTTATATATTATAATTATATGTGTACATATGCACATTGTTATAAGTACATTTTAATGTAATATGCACATTATATACAATTATATATTATATACATATATATACAATTATATAATTATATATATAATTTGTCTTGGTAATGTTAATAAAAATACAAAGTACCAACTATGTAGATTTTACAAAACAATATTACCTTTTCCAAATGTGATCTCACAACGTGCATTTGTATCCTGGCAGCCTCCATCATAACACAGATATCTGTTTCTACATAAATGTCCATTCTTTATAGTTACATCATATGGACATTCTGGTGACCCTCCATCACAAAATTCAGCAATATCACATTCACGATGTCTTGCTTCCCTACATTGAACACCTCGTCTTTCAATCTAATAGAAATTAAAATATAAAAAATAAAGCATTACACTTAAGATTGTTATATTTCTCAGTATTTATTTCAAAATTGTTCTATTTCAAAATTAATTCTATTTATAATTTAATGATCTATTTATTCATTAATGTCTATTAGTACCTTCTTTGTATAAAGCATTATGCTTATCATATTGAAAAAATTGTATGTTATCAGCTACAACAGGAAATAAGCATATGCACATGGAAAAGTATAACATAAATATGATGCGATGATTGCCAAAGTTCTGTTTGCATTTCAGTGCAAGGGAGGAAAAATCACTTTTAGCTTGAGATAATTATTTCTTGGGTGAAAACAATGTAATTCAGACAATTTCTAAATAAAATATACTTATTCAAAGCATAGTTTGTAAGTATGGAATATTTGTAATTCTATGACAAATGTGACACACAAATAACAGAATAAACAGAGGAAAACCAAAGGGTAAAGAGGCAGTTCTTAGAGAAGAAACTCAATCATAACTGTTCTCCTGAGTTATCCTGTAGTTAATTAACACTTTCATATACAGAATCTGAAAATGTACATAAACCATCTTAAAGGGACATCTATCTCATACATCTTAATTGATGATTCCCAGATGACAATAAAAAGATCACAGATGTAAGAATGTAACCACATGATAAGATTCTAGAAAAAAATAACAAAATTGCATTAGTCAAGGATAGTCAAGAACACAGAACCCATGGTAGGTAGTTCAATAGAGGGATCGTCATATGACAAATCTGTTACAAATATATTGCAGGAGCTGAAAAGGAAAACAGGAAAAGAGTCAACATCTTCAACATATAAACTAGTATGTGATCTTTCAATTAAATGATCTTTAAATAAATAATAAGTTTGTAGTTTGAACTTTGTGCTAACATAGCATTTAGGAAGTTCTATTCTAGTAAGTTTCATTATTTATACATTTATGGGAGATTGTTGTGTCTTTCAATTACATACTACAGGTACCTACCACAACCAGTAACAATATTTTTATTTCTAAAAATATAAATAATGCATAGAGTAAATAAAAAGTCCCTTTTAAGGGAGATCTTCTGTATTAAAAATTGTACAATAGCTCTCAACCAAGGCTTAACAACAACAGCATAAAGTTAGGCAGAATAATCGCATAAGAAGAAAACCTGAACATCCAAGTAATCTTCACAAAATCAGAAATCTGATTGTGAATTTAGTATATTGTTCTTTATCTGAAATTTCACTTATTTTTTTGTTTTAACTTAAATTCCAGCTTCTTAACATACAGTATAATATTAGTTTCAGAAAGTTCATTTATTTTTATTTACAGCTATAGGTCTAAGTGATTTAAAGTATTAAGACATGATTCATTACATACTTGAGAGATATTAATAAACTTAAATCTTACTTGACAGTCCCTGCAGCATAATCCTGCAGCACACTGTGATCCTGGTTTCAGCATACAAGTGAGAGGATTACAACAGCTAGCAGGTCCACATTGCTATGAATTAATGGAATGCACAAGTAAAAGTACATCATGATAATAATATAAACTTCGGCAAGAACTATATTTACTGGGCTTATTTTTTGAGTTTTAGGGAAAAATATTAATGCTGTCAATATTTATAGTTCTGTTTCTCTAAACAATTAGAATACTAAAGTAAGACTTTCACTTCAAATCAAAACAGAGTAACCAGTACCAAGAAACGCTTACCCAACTAGAAAACTAGGAAAAATATATGAAACAACTTTTTTTTTTTTTCCAGAAATTAGAGAATAGTGAGAGAGAACAGAATGGTGGTTAATAGTGTCTGGAGGGTGGGGGAAAAGGGTAGATACTGTTCAAAAGGTACAAATTTTCAGGGTGCCTGGGTCGCTCAGTGGGTTAAGGCCTCTGCCTTTGGCTCAGGTTGTGATCCCCAGGTCCTGGGATCAAGCCCCGCTTTGGGCTCTCTGCTCGGCCAAGAGCCTGCTTCCCCTTCTCTCTCTGCCTGCTTCTCTGCCTACTTGTGATCTCTGTCTGTCAAGTAAATAAATAAAATCTTTTTTTTAAAAAAGGTACAAATTTTCATTTAAGAATGAATTAGTTTCAGGACCCATTGTAAAACATGATGACTATAGTCAACAGTACTGTATCATACACTTGAAATTTGCTAAAAGGATAGATAAAGTGTCCTCACCACATACAAAAAAAAAAGGCGGGGGGGGGAACTTGTGAAGGATAGGTTAATTAGTTTGATTGTAGTAATCATTTCAGAAGTTATACATATATCAAAATATTATGTCGAACACTTTAAAAATAAAATTTGTATTTGTCAGTCATACTTCAGTAATGCTGGAGGTGGGGAAAGGTATATAGAGTTTATGCCTACTGCAAAGTCAGAATGTCCCCAAAATTTCCCTCACTACTTACACCAAACACAAGTTCAATGGATTTCCAAAACAACTCTAAGGTAATCTACTAGAAGGACTCACAGAACTCACTGAAAGCTGTTATATTCATAGTTATGGTTTATTATATGGAAATGATGCAAATTAAAATTAGCCAAGAGAAAAAGCAACCCAGGAAAGGCTCCTACTGCCTTCACCCCAGGAATTACATACATAATACTCTCCCAAAATTGATGTATGAAATTCCTGACTTATGCTATGTGGCCAGTATTACTCTAATACCAAACCCCAGAGACATTACAAAAAAGGAAATTACAGACCAATATCTCTCATAATCATTCAAACGCCAATTTATTCATCATATTGACAGGCTGAAGAAGAAAAACCATATGACCATAACAACTGAAGTAGAAAAAGAACTTGACAAAATCCAATACTCACTTAATGATTCATACAAAATATTAGCAAACTAGGAGTAAAGGGAAATTTCCTAAATTTAATAGTGAACATATAGAGAAAAACCTATAGCTAATATCATATATATGATGAGAAATTGATCAGGAACAAGACAAGGAAAGTCTTCACAACTCCTTTCAACATCTTACTGTAAGTTCTAGTTAATGCAGTAAGACAAGAAAATGAAATTAAAAATAGATGGGTTGAGAAAGAAGAAAAAAAAAACTTGTTTCTTCCATAGATTCCATGACTGACTATGTAAAGAAAATCCCAAATGACTGACCAAAAACAATAAATAAGTAAATAAATAAATAAAAATCTCCTGGACTAATAATTTATTATAGCAAGATTGCTGGATACAAAGTTAATATACAAAAGTCAATTCTTGGGGCACCTGCGTGTTTTAGTTGGTTAAGTGTCTACCTTCAGTTCAGGTCATGATCCCGGGGTTCTAGAATCAAGTCCCGCATCAGACTACCTGCTCAGCAGGGAGTCTGCTTCTCCATCTTCCTCTGCAGCTCCCCCCTGCTTGTGCTCATGCTCACATACTCTTTGTCAAATAAATAAAATCTTAAAAAAAAAAAAAAAGTCAATTGTTTCCCTATATATTGACAATGAAAAATGGGAATTTGAATTAAAAAACATGATGCCATTTATATTAGCATCAAAGTAATGAAGTATTTGGGAATAATTCTAACAAACTATTATAGAATCTGTATGAGAAAAACTATAAAACTATGATGAAAGAAATCAAAGAAGGCATAAATAAATGGAGAGACATTCCATGTTCATGGATAGGAAGTCTCAATAGCGTTAAGATGTCAGTTCTTCTCAATTTTATCTAGAGATTTAACGCAATTTCAATAAAAATCCCAGCAAGTTATTTTGTTGATATTGACAAACTCAATCTAAAGTTTATATGGAGATGCAAAAAAAAAAATGCAGAATAGTCACATAATACTGAAGGAAAGAAGAAGAAGAAAAAGGAGGTGGAGAAGGAAAAAATGAGGAAGAAAACCGAAAAACTGACAACACCCAACTTCAAAATTACTATGAACTATAATGACAGTTGGTATTCACAAAAGAATAAACAAAGAGACCACTGGAACAAAATAAAAACCCCAGAAACAGACCAACACAGATAATAAATCTTTAACAATGGAGTAAATACAGCTCAATGGAGAATGGATAGTCTTTCCAATAAATGGTGCAGGAAAAACTGGATATTCACATAGAAAATAATGATTAGATGCTGACTCTTTCACAAAAAATAACACAAAATGGATCATAAATTAAATGTAAAATGTAAGGCTATAAAACTTCTAAGAGGGTAGATTTAAGAGTAGATCTTATGTGAAGTGCTCTTCCACAATTAAAATAATAAATAAATAGGAATAATAATAATCTTAAATAAATTCTTTCAGAAAGTACTGAGCTCAGAATTGCCTTGATGCTTAAACCAGAAAATATTCTGAGACAAGAAAAAAATGCAGACCACAATCCCCTTGTGAAGATGTCCCGTCAACCCAAACAAAATATAAGCAAATTAAATCTACCACTATATATACAGAACAATTTAAGTGAAGCTAATGTTAGAATGCACGGTTGGGTTAGCATTCAAAAACCAATCAATGAAATGCACTATATTAATTAATTAATTAATTTTTAAAAGGAGAAAACTCATTTGAATCAGCTCAATAGACACAAAAATAAAACATTGGACAAAATTCAACACTAATTCCTGATTTGAGACTCTCAGCTAACCAGAAATAGAAAGGAACTTCCTCAACATGCTAATGGTATCTGTTTACCAAAAAAATTTTATCTAACATTATATCTAATGGTGAAAGTCAGAAAGCTTCCTCCGCCAATAAAAACAAAGCAAAGACCATTCTCAGCATTTCTAATTGACACTAGATCCAAGGTGAATTCACAAAAGTCAACTGTATTTTCTATACTAGCAATGAATAATTCTTAAATAAAATTTTAAAACAATGTTATAGAAACAAATTATAGAAAAACTAAATGAATTAAAAAAGAGCTAAATAACTGGAGATACACACCATCTACATTGATTGGCAGACTCAATTTTAATTTAACAAAAAAGTAATTCTCCCAGAATTGATGTATGAATACCACACAATTCCAATAAAGTCTCTATATTCACATGCTGATTCTCCAATTTATATGGAAATACAAAGGTCTCACAATAATAAAACTATCCTAGAAAAAAGGAACAAAGTTGGGTGATTTACATTACCTGTTTTCAAGATTTACTGTGAAAATACATGAATTAAAATAGCGTAGAACTGGCATAAAGTATGGTTACATAAATAAACAGAAAAGAATCCAGGGATAGACACACATGTATAGTAATTTACTTTCATAAGAATGCTAAAGTATTACAATGTTTAAATACAGTCATCTTAACAAATAAGAAATATTTGATACTCAAATGGAGCCTAATGAACCTCAAAAACACTACCCAAACACAAAAATGCACCCAAATGAATCAAAGACCACTGTGAGTAATAATCGTAAAACTTCTCAAAGAAAACATAGGAGAAAATATTCATGACCTTGAGTAGGCAAAGATTTCTTAGGACATAAAACGTTATGACCATAGAAGAAAAAAATGATAAATTGGTCTTCATAAAAAATAAAAAATGCCTGTTATTCAAAGATGTTGTTAAACAACCAAGAAGGGTATATACATAGACTGGAAATAAATATTCGTAATATACATGTCTGACAAAAACTAGTACCCAGCCTATAGGAAAAAAACTCTTACAAACCAATAATAAAAAAACAAACAATTTAATGGTTATTTAAGGACATGAGAACATGTTCAACATCATTATACTCCAAGAAAACACAAACCAAAACCATTGTAATGGCTAAAATTTAAAGGGCTGCAACATCACATTTTGGTGATGATGTGGAGGAAATTAAGTTTCCTGATAAGATTGTAAAATAATATAACAATTTGGAAAATAGTTTGCAAATAGTTCAGTTTCTCATGAACATATATGATGCAGCAATTCTACTTTTAGGAATTTGGAATAATGGCCCACTACTGTTAACAACTCAAATATCCATTAGCAGGTAAATGAAAAAACAGATTGTGTTATACTTAAACAACAAAGTATTACACAAAGTAAAAAGGAAGAAACTATTGTGACATAAAGTGACGTTGAATGAATCTCAAAACACAGTACTGAAAGGAAGAAGCCAGGGCCACCTGGTTGGTTCAGTCAGAAGAGTATGTGACTCTTCATCTCAAGATCATAAATTTGAGCCCCCCATTGGGTATAGAGATGACTTAAATAAACAAATAAATAAACTGAAAGAAGAAAGGATATATGAGGCATCATTCTATTCACATGACTTTCTAAATCAGGCAAACTGACAATCAGATGTTTCCTGAACAGGTATCACAATCTCAGATTTCAAGATATAGTACAAAGCTACAGTAATCAAAGCAGTATGGTACTGACACAAAACCAGACACTCAAATCAATGAAACAGAATACAGAGTTCAGAACTAAAGTCACACTTATACGGGCCATTGATCTACAACAAAAGAGGCAAGAATATACAATATGGAAAAGACAGTCTCTTCAACATATGGTGTTAGGAAAATTGGAGAGCTACATGCAGAAGAATAAAACGACAACTTTCTTATACCATACACAAAAATAATCTTGAAGTAGATTAAGAAGCTACATGTGAGAACAACCTGAAACTGTAAAACTACTAGAAGAAGACACAGCTGGTAATTTCTTTTACATAAGCATAGAAACATTTTTTTAGATATGTCTTCTCTGACAAGGGAAACAAAAGCAAAATTAAACTACTGGGACTGCACCGAAATAAAAAGCTTCTGCTTAGGGGCGCCTGGGTGGCTCAGCAGGTTAAAGCCTCTGCCTTCGGCTCAGGTCATGATCCCAGGGTCCTGGGATCGAGCCCCACATCGGGCTCTCTGCTCAGCAGGGAGCCTGCTTCCCTTCCTCTCTCTGCCTGCCTCTCTGCCTACCTGTGATCTCTGTCTGTCAAATAAATAAATAAAATCTTTAAAAAAAAAAATAAAAAGCTTCTGCTTAGCTAAGGAAACCATCAGTGAAACAACAGGGCAACCTACTGAATGGGATAAGATATTTGCAAAATTATATATCCAATAAGCGGTTAATATCCAAAATATATAAAGAACTGTTATAGCTCAACACCAAAAAAAAAAAAAAATCCAATTAAAAAATGGACAGAGGACCTAAATAGACACTTCTCCAAAGAAAACATACAGATGGCCAACAGACACATGAAAAGATCCTGAACATCACTCATGATCAGGGAAATGCAAATCAAAACCATAATGAGATATCACATTACACCTGTCAGATGGTTAAAATTAAAAACACAAGATAACGAGTTGGTGAAAATGTGGGGAAAAATAACATGCATTGTTTGACAATGCAAATTGTTGAAGCCATTGTAGAAAATAGTACAGAGGTTCCTCAAAAAATTAAAAATAGAAACATCAAACAAACCCATAATTCTACTTCAGGTACTTACTAATTCAAAAAGATATGTACACCACTATGTTTATACTTGAATTGTTTATAACAGCCAAGGTATGGAAGCAACTCAAGTGTCCTATGATAGATGAATGGACAAAGAAGATGTGGGAGATAGATCTGTATCTATATCTATAAATATAACGGTAGACAGATAGATACAATGACATATTACTCATCCATAAAGAAAAAAATAAAATACTGCCATTTGTGACAACATAGATGGACCTAGAGAATATAATGCTAAATGAAATAAGTCAGTCAGAGAAAGATCAATACCATATGATTTCACTCAAATGTGGAATTTAAGAAACAAATCAACAACAACAATAAAAAGACAAAAAAATACAGAAAAATGGTGGTTGCTAGAGGGGAATGGGCAGGGGAATAGTGAAAACAGATAAAGAGGATTAAGAGTACACTTATTATGAAGAGCACCAAGAAAAGCACAGAATTGTTGAATCATTATACTGTGCACCAGTTTCAGGTATACCAGTTTCAGGTATACCTTAACACTGTATGTTAATTATATTTTAAAAGAAATTAAGAGAAAAAGAAATTAAGAAAGAGAGAGAGAAAAAGAAAGAGGAAGGGAGGAAGGGAAACAGAATTAAGAGGGAGGACTTGATCTACCCAATGGCAAAATCTGGGTGGCTCAGTGGGTTAAAGCCTCTGCCTTCGGCTCAGGTCATGATCCCAGGGTCCTGGGATCAAGCTTCACATCAGGCTCTCTGCTCAGCAGGGAGCCTGCTTCCTCCTCTCTCTTTGCCTGCCTCTCTGCCTACTTGTGATCTCTGTCAAATAAATAAAATCTTTAAAAAAATAAAAGTGTGGTATGGATACAAGCATATTCAGACCCATATACGTATCACACCCTAATATCACTTCCATCTATCTTGTAATCATGGAAATGTAGAATAGCTGCAGTATGGCTGCAAATACTGAATTGTCTTAAAGTACTACAACCTGGACCTTTTGCATCCACGATATTTTCAGAGCTTCCTTACCAAGTGTATAATTAAAATCACCCTATGTTCAGACTGTAATATTAATAGCCTTACCTTACCATATTACTGATCCCATTGTGGAATAATACCCTAAAGGATACTTGGTGGAGGGCTGACATGTTAATCTTCAATAAAACATTTATAACATATCCAGAGGTTAAGCACAGGTATGGAAAGATCTTAGATATTTAGTTTAGAACACAAAAGTTCATTCTAGCTGCCTATTTTTCCCATCAGCAATAAATTTTAGGAGTATATTTTCTACTTGTTCAAAATCCTTCAACCTACATCTATATAGTATATTCTGGATGTATTTCAAACTTAATTTCACTTACTGTCAATATTCTGCATAGTACTCAGTCATATTTGAGATACGTAACATTTACGACAAAGATATGAGCTTAAACAATTAATTTATTAATTAACTTTCCTATTTATCAGACTTACTTCCTCAGTACCACAGTCACACGCTTCACCTATCTCCACTCTGCCGTTGCCGCAGAGAGCTACCGCACTTTTTCGCATTCGTGGCTTGTTCTGAAGACATTTGGCACCCATATTTGAAATGAAATTTTCAAAGGTACTCAAACTGCAACTGCTAAACGTCTTCACACCACTTGATCGCCTAGAGGTGAATCCATATCATGTCATTGGCAGCACACTTCCAAAAACACATCTCTATATAATATAAATTACTTTCAAAATGTTAAATTGAATAGGTAATGATAAATGTTTATAACAAGTGCTTAGAGGTCAAAATTATTCCTGGGTAGATCATGTGATTTTATTTACTGGGATACATATCCTTATTCAAATAAAATTAAGTACAATTTAATAGTAAAAAATTAACAAGCCAATTAGAAAATGGGCACAGACTTGAATAGATTATTATTCAAAAAATACATATAAATGCCCAACAGGAAAATGAAAAGGTGCTCAATACCACTAGTCATCAGGGAATTTCAAATCAAAACCACAATAAGATATCACCACACACTTGTTAAGATGGCTATTATCATTTAAAAAGATCAGATTTGAAAAAAAAAATAAATTAAAAGATCAGATTTGGCAAGGATATGGAGAAATTGGAATCTTTGGTGCACTGTTGGTGGGAATGTAAATTGGGGCAGTCACTGTGGAAAACAGTAGAGAAGTTCTTCACAACATTAAAATAGAACTACCATATGATCCCACAATCCCACTTCTGGGTATACATATAAACTAACTGAAACCAGGATCTCAGTGAGATATCTGCACTCCCACGTTCATTGCAGCATTATTCACAATAGCAAAGATAGGGAAGCAACCTAAATTTCCATTGACAAATCAATGGATTAAAAAAATGTATATACATGCATATATATGTATATACACCCATATGCAACAACATGGATGAACCATGAGGACATTATTCTAAGTGAAGTAAGCCAGTAACAGAAGAAAAACACTGTATGATCTCACATATATATATTTCAAGTAGTTAAACTCACGGATGCAGAGTTTGTACCATGTATAATGGTGGTTGTCAGGGACTAAGAGGAGGTGGAAATGGGGAGTTATTCAATGGGTGTAAAGTTTCAGTTATTCAATATGAGTACACTTTAGAAACCTGCTGTATGACAAATACCTATAATTAACAATACTGTATTGCACATTTAAAATTTTAAGAGAATTCCTGTTAAGCATTCCTACCACAATAAAAAAATTAAAAATAGATTATTTTATACACATTATTATATTAATTTTGAGTTTCTGGGCATGACTGTATATAAATTCTTGTATATAAAGAAAAATACTTATACATGTATATGATGTCTCTTGCCCAGGAATGAAGAAAACCCTGTATCCATTTATGTCAATTCCTGGATGTATATCAAGAATTCTTCAAACTTCTCTTCTACTCCCTCAGTCCTTCCCCTGACTATTATAAAATTAAGAATCAAACTCTTTGAAAGTTTGAATCTTTTCTGTTTTAATGGTTTTTTTCATTATTTATTCACAGGTTTGTAGCACATATATGATAGATGATTCATTAAGTAGTAAGTTGTTTGAGGCAGGAACTTTATCATCTTTATTATTGGTATTACTTATCACAAGTACAGTACTTAGCAAACACAGAATCAATTGTCTATTGATTTTTTATAATAACAAAAAACTGAATAGATTATACTGTGCTTGGTTCTGATCTTTCTCACAGATCTCGGAGAAATTTTATATTAATCAAAATTTTATGTCACTATGTCCACATACCACTAATAAAGATAGCTTCAGAGAGTATTTCCATAAGATGAGTCACTTTCAATATGTAGTAAAACTCTATCAGATAAGGAGAAAACTGACATTTATTGAGTACCTATTATTAGCTAGATATTTTAAATACTTGAATATTTAATACACACTACAATTCAGGGAGTCTGGTTTTGTCACCAACATTCTATAGAAATTGAACTAAAGTTAGAAAGTTAGAAAAGCTAAAAACCTCACAAAACTCAGTTTGTAAATTAGCAGGATCAGCATTCACACATACAGCTCTTTAAGATTTCAAATTCAGGTACATTTTTTACCCTCAAATTCATCTTTGAACATTACATAATAAAATATTTACTATTAAATATGAATATGTTTTACTATAAATCATAAATTTTGATAATAGTATCACTAAAATTGAAAAGTGAGGAAAATTTTAATTGAAAACTATATAATATTTTGGCTCTGGAAACTACTTTAGGACTATTATATATAATCTTAAGTTATTCACCTTTTTGCTCCCCAAAACAGCAGTTCTTAAGAATATGTGTTCCCAAAGATTACTTGTAATCAACTGTACAGAATTTTTTCTATTAATTTTGTTGAGATTTTACATTTTGAATTCTAATGCTATGTTAGTTTTGTTTCCAAATTATTTATAAAAGCTTACTGAAACTATGATATAACTAGCCTAAGCTCTAGGTTCAGAGACAAAGAAATTGAGTGATAGAAAAAAGTAACGGTACTTTCCCTTTGGAAATGGAAAATGCTCTCTACCATTTTTTTGAGGTGAAGGCTAGCACTTGACAGCATTTTGAAAAAAGAAAAATTTATCTTCCCCACTACCCCATTTTCCTTTCAAGGCCTTTCTCTCTTCTACATTTTTTCCCCTAAATTCCTGTTCTCATTGCTCATGTTTTCCCTACTCCTCAAATAAGAGGTAACAGCACAGCGATAATAACTTAGATGTAACTTTATTACTTACATACTCACAAGTAATGGATAAAATACAATGTAGCTATCATGATCTCATTTTTCAGAAGAGAAAACTAAGAGTTAGAAAATATAACAAACAAGTGAAAGATTCTAAAGCCCATGTTCCCCTCAATGTATTCCATTCTGAAAAATGATATCTCCTCTTCTTCAATCAAACTTCCATATTTTAATGAAATTGGTCTTAGCAAGGAATGAAAAGAAAGCAATATTCATAAAATAATTCAATCTCACTGAATAACTGATAATGCCATGTTCCTTCTAAATATTTTTGCCTTATAAAATGATGGAACCAGACAGGAGAGCAAACCTTGCCAGGAGTTTTCTCTAGGTTTCTACATTCATAGCTCTTGCCATTTTCCATGCTCCTTTCTTCTTTTCACCTTTGAATTCATTTGTGTGTGCAGACTATCCTAAATGTGAGAGTTTAAGATACAAGCAACCCACATTTAAAAAGCAGATGTAAATTAAAACATACAAATAATATGCCAGTAGGATCACTGAATTATAAGAATTAAGTCTGTTCAAAAAAAAAAAAAAAAAAGAATTAAGTCTGTTCAAACGCATGCTAATGTTCTCTTGCTTTCTGATTCAACTTAATTCTAATATATTTACTGTCTTGTATATGAAGTCATTGTGGAGTACAGAAAATAACAAAGCTTTGGGTTAGATAAACTTGTTAACTAGTATCAACACTGTGACTTAAGAGGTTTTAAACAAAGTAATTTAACTAAGTCTCAGTTTTCTCTTCTACAAAACAGGGATAATAATATCCATCCACCTCACAGGGTTGTTGTGAAGATTAAATACTATTAAACAAGTAAAGTGCCTAACTGAACTCTCTGGCTTTTATTAAGTGCCCAATGAATCATTGGTGATATTATTGACATCAACTGAAGTTTGGCCGTTAATTAACAGTATATCCAATGTAAAGTCATTTAGGCTTACTACTAATACTAAGCAGGGGCTTTAAAAGACACATTAAATGGAAATAATACTTTCTTACATACATGCCTCCTTTGAAAATTACTTAAAATAATGTATGAGATGTATTGTGGAAATACAAAATTTTGTAAAAGTAAGGTAATACCTATACACAAGAGTTTTATAAGAAATTGAAGAACAGGCTGCCCCTGGGTGGCTCAGTGGGTTAAAGCCTCTGCCTTCAGCTCAGGTCATGATCCCAGGGTCCTGGGATCAAGCCCCACATCAGGATCTTTGCTCAACAAGAAGTCTGCTTCCCCCCGCCCCCCTCTCTCTCTGCCTGCCTCTCTGCCTACTTGCGATCTCTGTCAAATAAATAAATAAAATCTTTAAAAAGAGCATATGTATATACACATACATTATTTTTATATAAAGCTAATTTAGATCTAATTTGTAGTATAATACATATGTGTACATAAATATGTATGTTAAAGTTGGAGCAGTTACGAAAGAGCATGTTTTCAAAAATTAATGCCTTACTTTCACTTCTGACTTCTCATTGTTTTTCAACTATGAATCGGTCATACTTAGCACAGTCCCTTTGATATGGGAAACAAAGGCAAAGAAGTGTAACTTAAAACTTCCTTACAGCTTGCAGCCCACTGATGGAAACCTGAAACATGCAGAGCATGACCTTCCTCAAGGAGCTCATGGCAGCCTTAGTACCTTAATGTTTAAAAGTAACATTATAGAGACACCTGGGTGGCTCAGTATGTTAAGCCACTGCCTTTGGCTCAGGTCACGATCCTAGAGTCCTAGGATCGAGTCCTGCATCGGGCTTGTTGCTTGGCAGGGAGCCTGCTTCTCTCTCCCACTCTGCCTGCTTGTGCCCTTGTTCTCTCTGTCTCTCTAACAAATAAATAAAGTCTTTAAAAAAAATAAAAATTTTTTTAAAAAAGTAACTTTATGTTGGCATCACCTGGCCCCTCAATGTCCTGAAAGCCTTGTTTCCAGAATCCTTGGAGATTTGCGCCATCCCTAACCCCCACTCACTAAAAAGTACACAGTCAATCCTTACAATCCCAATATAGCCCTTTCTGCCCACCAGTCCTGCCCCATGAGTAAGGAAGGGGTGAAGGTCTAGGCAGGAGAGAGAGGAGGCCCCTGATTTCCCTGACTGGGCTCTGGAACTATTCCTGGCAGGTGTAGACAGCTGAGAGAGCTGAGCAAAAGATAAGGGAACAAACCAAGAATCTCATGACCACAAGCTTCCCAGTCAGTTCTCAATAAAAGATTGCCCCTAAAAGCCCTCAGCAGCAACCCATTCGGGACTCTTCTCACCCTAGAGAGATTTTTCTTTCCTTCCTGCTCTCGCCTTCACTCAATAAACTTCCACTTCACTTCACCTTTTGTGTCTGCAAGATTCATTCTTTGACTCTGTGAGACAAGAACTCTGCAATC